TACTTCCTACTAGAAAAGGAAGCAGGGCTTCAAGTCGTCGGAGGCCACCTGAGTCTTGGGGAAAAAGTGCAACCTGAATTAAGATCAAAATACCCAAATTCTCCATCTTTCTAGGCCATGTGTGTTTCTTTTCACCAAAGGTCTCATCACTCCACTACTCACTACTCATGGAGGGTCTTTTCTGCAATACCTGTTCTTTGCTTGGAAGCTACTGCCCAGCTCTCCGTTATGAATTTAAATCCTTCCCACCCCTGCACTCACCTGCTCTTGGTGCAGCCTCTGAACCTCTTCCAGCTCGCGCTGGCTCCCCTCTTCCAAGTTCTTCCGGACGACCTCAGCCCCAGCCAAAGCAGCACGCAGGCCCTCGGCCTCAGCTCGGCCAGCCTTCTCTGCCTGTGCCAGGGCCTCCAGCTCCATGGCCTGGGCCTCTAGCCTCATCTTCTGCTGCAGTGAGGTCTCCCGCAGGAGCCGGACCTCCTCCTCCAGCCGCCGCAGTTCTTGCAACTGCCGAGCAATCACCTCAGCCTGCTGGCTCAGGGCCTGTGACCCCTCCAGCTCCCAGGACCTTCAAAGACAGGTTAGTGCAGGTGAGACTTGTCTCCAGTGCTGGAAGGATAGTCGAGGGTGTAAACATAGCCAGAAGGAAAAGAGGACCTCTCTGCCCCCGTGTGGGGAGGTGAAGGGGGTGCTGAAGCTGGGGTATGGGGATGTCTGCATTGACATCATCATCATTCATCAAAGCCCTACTGAGCATGTTAAGTCCAGTGCCTGGACTCACAGGACCTAAAGTCTGGCTGAGATGATGGAACATGATCTCCCTAGAGAGAGCTACATACAGACAGATCCAACATCAAATGTGTATATCATTAGGCCACATATTCTTTTTGTTTTTTGGTGTTTTTTTTTGTCTTATTTATTTTTTATTTTTAGGCCATACATTTTAAGTGGAAAGATTGGAAGAACAGAGACTTCTCAATTCTGATTTAAGGGCAAGAAGTTTGAGGGAGGAATGGGCATACAGAGAGCTGAGCTTCTAGTACCAATATGGTGAGGCCAGGTGCTAGTTAAAATGCATTTATTGAGTGTTAGGTATACTTTATGAGGAGTCTGAGAGAACAGTACATAAATAACATCTGTCTCTTATACACATCTAGATGTGTATAAGAGACAGGCTTTATGAGGAGTCTGAGAGAACAGTACATAAATAACATAGTGCCAGCCTTTGGAGACATTGTCTACCAATATCACATGAAGTTTAATCCAGCTTGGAACATGGCTCCTGAGGCAGCTGTCTCTCTGACACCCAGGACCACAGGAGAGTGTTGTTGTTTTTAGAGACAGGGTATCACTGTGTCACCCAGGCCTCAATGCAGTGGCTGGATCATAGGTCACTGCAGCCTTGAACTCCTGAGCTCAAGCGATCCTACCACCTTAGCCTCCCGAGTAGCTGGGACTACAAATGCATGTCACCACAGCCAGCTAATTATTTTCTGTGGAGACGAAGTCTCGCTTTGTTGCCCGGGCTGGTCTTGAACTCCTGGGCTCAAGTGATCCTCCTGCCTCAGCTTCCAAAGTGCTAGGAGTATAGGTGTGAGCCACCATACCTGGCCTTTTCTTTATTTTCTTCATTTATTTTTAAGTATCAGGGATCTGTAGGCTAGGGAAATTGACTTGCCAAATGTCCTCTAGCTGGTAGCCAAACTAGAAATAGAGTCTCTGTCTCCTGACACCCAGTCTAGTACTCCTTCTTCATCGTGCTGCTGCTTCTAATGTAATCCTACTCTGGAGCAAAATGGCAGAATGATATCCCAGTACATCTGGGAAGACACATGAAACAACAAGAAAAAGAATGTTTACAGACAATACGACAGCATGGCCAGCTCCCATAGCATGTCCTCTGTAAAGGCTTTCTTCCATCAGAATGAACCCACACTGCCACAGGGCTGGGTCTCTACTTCTAGTTTGCACTTCTTCATCTTGCCTCATACTATGCTTTACCATCAGTTGATGGTCAATCTATCTCCCCTCTTAGGATTTTAGATTCCTTATTAATTACAAATTTAAGTCAGGATTTGTCTTATTCATTATTGTTATCCTCATCCCTAGCACCTAGCACACTGCTTTATTATCTAAGCACTGTAGGAACTAATAATTGCCTGCATAAAAATGAGTAGGTTCTGGAAACTAGGGCCGAAACAGGGTAAGGAGTTTATTCCAGGGAAGAAGGGTCACTAGCAAGCCAGCCTGAGAAAACAGCGAGGATGGATCCCTACCTGCCTCTCCGCCCTGGCTCCTGCCTGTCACTGGAAACATCCTGTTTCCACATGGTCACTTGAGGTCTCTGGGTGTCCAGTCGCCTCTCTGAGACATCTTGACGGCCTGGGGGTTGGACCAGGGGAATGTCTGAGAGCCAGGTGGGAGCCATTCTCGGCAGAGTTGAAAGGGGCCGAGCTTGAAAATGGGAGGGAGGAATCAGCCCAGTGGAACCTGAAGAATTACAAAATCAAAGATGGTCAGTTTCCCAGGCAGAGACAACCACCACTCCCCTTGTCTGGTCCCACTGACCTGAAGGTGGAAACATCTCCACATTATTTGAAGGCTCTAGATTCTGTCTCCAGCCATCTATGTTCCCCTGGACAATAGGAGAAACAAAGACACTCCAATTCAATTTTCAGGCCACCTTCCAAAGAGAAAGCCCCTACAATAACAAAGTCATAATCCTTGAATTACCGCCAGGTCCACCCGATGCTCAGCTCTTTTCCTACTTCCCCAAAGAAGTAGGAGATACCCAGATACCCCAAATTCACTTGCTTGTCTCAACCTGGTTCCTCAGGGAACCCAGGCAACTAACTATCAAGTGGAGAGAATTTACTGAAAAAGACAGACCGAGAGGGGCTCTGAGGCTTTACTCATACTTTCAGGATTCTGGGCAGTGCCTTTACCCTCCTCCTTAAGTTTCTATGGTCCCTGCTGCCCCTGGCCAGAGGTGAGAAAGGAGGTACACAGTGCAGGGGTCTTGAGCGCCATCTCCAGAGTTCTCTCCATGGCTCAGCAAGGCCTGGGGGAATCCCATCCAGACACCACCAGGCCATGACTCTTGGGTCCTTCCCTATTAAAGTGCTGGCCCAAGGCCTGGCCCCAGCTGAATGTGGCCACATGCAGGGCTAGACCCTTCCCAAGACCTTGGGAATCCAAGCAGCCTAGATCCCCAGGCAGAAGAGTCAGCGTCCTGACATCTCATCCAAATCTTTCCTGCGGCTGTCCTCTCAGCTTCTCTCTACTATCCCCTCAGCTTCCATGCCTGCCGCCCGCCGCCTCTTTCTCGAGTCCTAACACATAGTGGGCACTTTAAGACCTTCCCCCCACCCTCCCACCCTCATTAGTCTATTTTTTACCTGAATCTGGGATCCCTACTCTGGTCCCTTTTTACATCCTAATCTACTTTTTTCTGAAGGAATTGTTCTGGTCCTCACCCTCACCCCCATCTCTCAATAGTCTGCTCTCGCCCCCTGTACGCTAGCCGGCTCTGCTCTCCCCCTACTGCTCCCCTAGATACCCAAGGCTGTTCACCCAGTTGGCCCCTGAGCTCTAAGGCTGTTCTGATCTCCTCATCTACCCCTTCACCTGGCCCCTGTTCCCCCTTCCCCTTTGGACCCCTTGAACCCTCCCAGCACCCCCGCTCAGCCCCTTCCCGCCCACAACCGACTCTTCCCGAACGTCCCTTACCCACCGCGAGAACCCCTACTGCGCCTTGACCACACCCCCTACGCCTCGCTCCGGCCCCGCCTCTGCCTCGGCCTCTGACCGCGCCTGCGCAAGGCGGGCGCCCTAAGGTCCTATTTCACTGTAGGGAGGAGGAAAGGTGTACGCAGGCGCAGTGGCGTCTAAATCTGGGCCCACAGAATGTGTCGACGCATCTCCGCGCCCAGGCGGCTCCTCCCCACTGCGGGAACCCGGGAAAACTTGTGAACTAATCAGAAAAAGCGGAAGGCGGGCGATCTTAGGAAGCCGCCCAATGGCGCGGAAGAGAGCAAATGACCTGGCCAATCAGAAACGGCACGGGGGCGGGCTCGCTCGGCGCGAAGTTCGGGCCCGGGAATTCCGAAGGAGGGGTAGGCGCTGCCCGCGCGCCGAGGCCGCGCCCCTCCTGGCCCCGGCTTCCTGGCTGTCAAACAGCTGCAGCAGTATCGGCTCCGGCCGAGGAGCCCAGGGGGTCCCGGGACCCGCGGCACAGGCTGGCACTGCTTGAAGAGGAGGCTACTCGGAGACTGCACCGCGCTGGTAGATCCGAAACGGGGCTGGGGCCGAGAGGGAAAAGGCCGGGTATGCCTTGCATGATCGCGGGGAGCCCCTTCCTGTTTTTATCCCACCTAGAGAAGCCGGGAAGTAGGGGTTTAGGTCCAATTTGTTGGAGTACTTAAGAACTCGTTTGCACTTCCTTTTGGGGGATGACAGTAGATTCATTGCCCTCGGAGGTTCAAACTAGTTATGAGTGAGGGATTGGCCAGAAGATCGGGGCGCAGGCAAGCGGGAGTGCTCTATTAGGATAAGCAGGTTTGACAGGAAGAAGCTGCTCTTCTCCGAATTACACAGAGGTGATGTGTTCGTACTGCACGTAGACGTGTGTATAACAGGACCTCCCCACCGCGCCCCGCCACCCCGACACACACAGGAGCTGCCTAAAGTATCCTTGCCTTGCAGATTGGAGGCTCCCCAGATATTTTGCGACCTGAGGATCCAGCTCAAGTGAGGTGCTATAGGACGTGTTCCTGAGTTTGCATTGCACGGAGACCTTCCTGGAATTTTTCATTTGCAAGTCGGCTTAACAACCGATTTTGCATTGAGTCCTAGGCTGCTTGCACTCTGAATTTGGACTATTCAGGTAGTGTGCTCAAAGTTGAAACTGCACACAGCACAACTCAAGTTTGCATCAGACTGGGAAGCGAACTTAAGCCAGCGGTGCGTGGCCCAGGAGTGGGAAAGGAAATGGATCCCTAAAGTGGAAGAGGTGGTGCAAAGGGGGCACCGCCCATGCTGCCCTGCTTCCAACTGCTGCGCATAGGGGGCGGCAGGGGCGGTGATCTCTACACCTTCCACCCCCCCGCCGGGGCTGGCTGCACCTATCGCTTGGGCCACAGGGCCGACCTGTGTGATGTGGCTCTGCGGCCCCAGCAGGAGCCTGGCCTCATCTCTGGGATCCACGCCGAACTGCACGCCGAGCCCCGGGGTGATGATTGGAGGGTCAGCCTGGAAGACCACAGCAGCCAAGGTGAGCAGTAAGCAGGGCAGCTTTGCCCCTGGGTGGTTGAAGTTCCAGGCTGGAATGAGTAAGGTCTCCACAAGACCCTGCTGCCTGCCTCCCATACTCCCATCAGATTGGATGGATGGTAATTGTCCAGACCTTCATCTTCCCACCAGAAGTATGCACAGTCAGAAGCTCTCTGCCAGACCGACCCTTGTTGGTCCCGTTTAGCTCATACAGGACCTGGGGTATCATCAGAAAGATGTCACAGAGGGGATGTTTAGAGGCCAAGTTTAGACTTGATTCAGTTTCCAGCTTTGCTGAGGCACTCTGTTCCTGGGTTAGGGCAGTTCTATGTTGAATAATGTTTTTAGTAATCTGGGTATGTGTCTTTCTCCCTGACTTGAGGGAGTTAGCCTCAGAAAGCCTAGATTCACATTTGAGTTCTGCCACTGGCCCCTGGCAAAATCTCTTCCTCTTGGTAAAGTCAGTTGTGGGAGTGTTGTGGTTATTAGACTATGGTAGCCAACATTCATCTAGTGCTTCCCGTTATGAACCAGGCACTATTTTAAGTGTATTGAATGTAAGTGGCACTAATATTATCCTCATTTACAGTAAAGGAAAATGAGGCACAAAGAGATTAAGGAACTTGTCCAGGGCTGGGCATGGTGGCTCACACCGGTAATCCACCACTTTGGGAGGCTAAAGCAGGTGGATCACTTGAGCTCAGGAGTTCGAGACCAGCCTGGGCAACATGGTGAAAACCTGTCTCTACCAAAAAATTAATTAATTTTTTAAAAAAGGCCGGGTGCAGTGGCTCACGCCTGTAATCCCAGCACTTTGGGATCCCGAGGTGGGAGGATCATAAGGTCAGGAGTTTGAGACCAGCCTGACCAACATGGTAAAACCCCATCTCTACTGAAAAAAAAAAAATACAAAAATTAGCCAGGTATGGTGGAATGCGCCTGTAACCCCAGCTACTCAGGAGGCTGAGGCAGGAGAATCACTTGAACCCGGGAGGCGGAGGTTGCAGTGAGCTGAGATCGTGCTATGGCACTCCAGCTTGGCAACAGAGTGAGACTCCGTCTCAAAAAAACAAAACAAAAAAAACAAACAAAAAGCTTGCTCAGGGTCACATAGCTGGTAAGTGGTAGAGCTAGAATCTGAACGAGCTGGAGCTGGGGAGAGTGAGCATGTTTGAAAATTGGACCTTAGGGCTGGGCATGGTGGCTCACGCCTGTAATCCCAGCATTTTGGGAGGCTGAGGCGGGCAGATCATGAGGTCAGGAGTATGAGACCAGCCTAACCAACATGGTAAAACCATGTCTCTGCTAAAAATAAAAAAATTAGCCAGATGTGGTGGCACGTGCCTGTAATCCCAGCTACTCAGGAGGCTGAGGCAGGAGAATCGCTTGAACCTGGGAGGCGGAGTGCCGTGAGCTGAGATTGCGCTACTGCACTCCAGCGTGGGCAATAGAGCAAGACTCCACCGCAAAAAAAAAAAAAAAAAAAAAAGGAAGAAAATTGGACCTTAGGAGAGTGAGGGGAGGGATCCTTTGTAGGAAAGCACAAGAAACACAGACTTGTTCCCAACTGACAAGGAGCGTACTGCCTGGTACCTGTCACCTGCTGAGGGGCTTAGGATGTGAGGGAGAATCTGATAGCAGTTTCATGTTCTTCCCCAGAAACCAGACAGAGCCAGATTTCTGCACTCCTGACTCTGGTCATTTCTGTTCTTGTCCTCCGTATTTGCCTGGTGCCCCACCATCAACAGGTACTTTGGTCAATAATGTCCGACTCCCAAGAGGTCACAGGCTGGAATTGAGTGATGGAGACCTCCTGACCTTTGGCCCTGAAGGGCCGCCAGGAACCAGCCCCTCGGAGTTCTACTTCATGTTCCAACAAGTACGAGTCAAGCCTCAGGACTTTGCTGCCATTACCATCCCACGATCTAGGGGAGAAACCCGGGCTGGGGCTGGTTTCCGGCCTATGCTGCCCTCCCAGGGGGCTCCACAGCGGCCTCTCAGCACTCTCTCCCCTGCCCCCAAGGCCACACTGATCCTGAACTCCATCGGCAGCCTCAGCAAGCTCCGGCCCCAGCCCCTCACCTTCTCCCCTAGTTGGGGTGGACCAAGGAGCCTGCCTGTTCCCGCCCCACCTGGGGAAGTGGGGACCACCCCTTCTGCTCCACCCCCACGCAATCGGAGGAAATCTGTTCACCGAGTGTTGGCGGAACTGGATGATGAGAGTCAGCCTTCTGAGAGCCCGCCACCGGTCCTTACGGAGCCCAGGAAGAAACTCCGTGTAGACAAAGCCCCACTGACTCCCACTGGGTAAGTAGAGTCCTCACTTGGCCCTCTCAGTGTTTTACTGCCTTTTGATTCCTTGTATCCCTAGGCTGTGAGGAGGTTCCCCTGCTTGGGGGACGGGCATGGGAGGTGGAATAGATGGAATGGCAAGACCTGGGTTAGCTCTGATAGGAAAAGAAAAATATGTGCAGGAGAAAATGAGAGGTGGGGTGGGGTAGTGCTTATAAAACAACCGGAGTGGGCCTGTCCTACTTTACATTCATATGGCTTTAACCCCATTCTTCCAGTGCCTAAGGATGGGGAACTTCCAGGCTCACACTAGAGGTTTTTAGGCCTACCCTATGTGTTTTTAAGGACGGAGTCCAGGCTCACCTTAGTCCTCAGACCACTGTGCCTCTGTGGCCTCATCCTATGACCAGCCATAGGGTGGCAAGGTCTAGGCCTTCTCCTACAGGTTTCCAGTGACCCTTGTGTCTGTGTCACTTCCTTCAGAAATCGACGTGGCCGTCCTCGGAAGTACCCAGTGAGCGCCCCCATGGCTCCCCCTGCAGTTGGGGGCGGGGAGCCCTGTGCAGCTCCTTGTTGCTGCCTGCCCCAGGAAGAGACAGTGGCCTGGGTTCAGTGTGATGGCTGTGACGTCTGGTTCCATGTGGCCTGTGTTGGCTGCAGCATCCAGGCTGCCAGGGAGGCCGACTTCCGATGCCCAGGGTGCCGGGCTGGCATCCAGACCTAAGGTCCACCACCAAGGCCCCATCGGACACACCTGCCCATGAGTAGACACAGCAGCGAGCAAATGGGTCTGCTAAATGCCCCCCTTCCCTTCCCTCCCCAGGAGGGAATGACTACAGGGAAGAAGGGCGGATTGATGTGGACTCATTCAGGGCCTGGAGCAGACCCTGGTGGCCAAGCTGACAGAAGAGATGGTTTCCTGCCAAAGATATTGCCACCTCCAGGAAATTGCCAGTGAGCTGGAAGTTCCCACTATTACAAGCTATAAGGCCATGTTGCCATGGACACCAGAATATCTGTAGTCAGAGCACCTATCAGTTGCAAAAGCCATGCCTGCAACTGATGGAAAATGTAAGAGGGAGTTCTTAAGGTTCTTGGTGGCATCACCCAAGGCATTCTGGGAAAACCTAGGGCCTGTCCCCAAAACTTCCCTACTCTGTGGCTAGTCCTGCTTCCGACCAAATCGTAGTGACCTGGCTTTTCAGAGCTTTGCTTTTATTTCTAAGTCGAGGACAAGCAGCTTCTTTCACTCCTGGGTATTTACTCTTGTGGGTCTGTGATATATTCCTTGCTTTCCAGGGAGAATGTACTTGGCAAGGTCTGGAGAACTAATTCAGAATCTTAGGGAAAGGGGAGGAGAGATGGAAATACAATTTGCTTACTGGAAAGGTGCAAATATATGGGTTGAGCTGGAGGTAGGAATACAAGTAATTAAGGTTTCTAGTTTAAGGGAAAACAGATCTATTTAAGTTCACAAAGATAGCAGAAGATTTATTTACAGGCTTCACCCGTACCATCAGGGGAAGAGAAAGCCTGGTAAACCAGCTATAGCAGTTTACTGGTGTGATGGCTGCGACACAGCTCCGCTCCACAGGTGGACACAGCAGAGGGCAACTGGGCTGGCCTGGTCCAGTGTGAATCAAACTGCTTAACCCACACATGGTACATGTGATTTTCTTTTGTGAGCCTTACACCAAGCCAAGCTATTGTCAAAGCATCATTTCAGTAGAAATAAAGCCTTATCTTGACCTATTATATTACAACCTGCAACATCCACCCTTTCATACCTAGATTTAATGAGCCCAGGTTTTTTTACATGGAGGAAATGACTCTGGGGCAAAGACCCCTAATGAACTAGTGGCAGAGCCAGGAATAAAACTTTAGTATCTAATGAGTTACTTATGGGCGGAGTATGCAAAAACCTTAAGTGGAAACCAAAGTTATCAAGAAAGCACAAAGTATTAATAGAAGTTTCTGGTTGGGGTGATTTAGGTACAACAGAAATAAGACGGTTTCTAAGTATAAAGCCATTTAAGAATTCCAGAATAGGGTGGGGAAAGCAAAAAGCCATCTCTGAACAGGTAACAGCTACATGGTGACTGATTCTACAGGCAAAAGCTCGTGTCACAGGCTTTTGGGAACTAGCCTATAAGAGGGCCCTGTACAAATAAACTTGGCTGCAATCCCACCTCTCCCTCTGACATTGCGTGACCTTAAGGAGTTTCAATGGCACCTTGGTTTCAGGTTCACTTGGGTATGAATGAGCATTGGATATTCCCATCCCCACCTCCGTAACTGAAGGACAAACCAAGATAAGTGTGTCTATCTACTGTGTCCCAGGCTTCTTTATTTAAGAAAAAAGTGATACATGATGTGGGATTAAAATCAAGAGCATCATTGAACTTCACCTTCCCTCCAACCAGTTGCCCCAAACTCCCCTGCCCCCACCCTTTGTGTTCCCAATTCCTTCCTTAGTGAATGAAGAACTTAATCCCAAAAGCCCTGGCACGAACTCTAGGTTCTCTTTCCCTAGCTCCTCCCCTCCCCCTGTCCCTCATTCCTAGAAGGGCAGGCGCCTCAGTTTGAATGCATGGGAGAGCTCAGAGCGGTGACGGAGACAGGGGGAAAGGCTTCCCCCTCAGGGAAAGGGACCGAGGAGTACAGTGCAGTGAAGTGAGGGCTCCCATAGCCTGGGGTACCAAAATGGGGCCCTGGGGCCAGAGGAAAGGACACTGGTCCCCCTGAGAAAGGAGACCCAGCAGCCTCAAAATCCTCTCGTTGTGCATAGTCACTGCTCGATCGCTTGCCCTTCTGGCGCCGGTTACAGAACCACACTCGGACCACCTGCAGGTGGATGACAGAAAGGAGAGTGACATTAGACAATGAGCTGAGACGGGCCTGACTCTGCTTGGACATTCTGTCCAAAGCCAACAGCCCCTAGAGCAGTCGGAGGAGGAGCCAGAGCTCCGGAGAGCGAGGTGGTGACGGGAGAGAGATGGAGCCCGCAGAGAGACATGGCACTCACATCCTTCTCGAGCCCAAGCTGCTGGGCGATGTGGCTGATCTGCTGCAGTGTGGGTTTCGGGCACTGCAGGAACAGATTCTCCAGGCTGCCTCTCACTCGGTTCTCGATACTGGTTCGCTTTCTCTTTCGGGCCTGCACCAGGGTTTCTGCTTTGCATATCTGTGCAGGTGGGAAGGGGGTGACAAGGGCAAGCTTTGGACTTGCTGAGTAACAGCATCACGGGGGTCTGTGACTAGATGTGTCAGCAAAGCCAGGTGGTGTGAAAAGGCAGGATCCTGGAAGGGTTGGCTCTGGACCTTATCCCAGCAGAACTGAGGAATTTTACTCCATCCCACTGAGAACCACTGCACCAAAGACGGAGAGCTACAAGCTAGGGATGGAAGCAATGGAAATTAGGCCAAGAAAGGGAAGGTCCCCATGTATCCCCCTCCCACCCTCACCTCCTGAAGATTTTCATTGTTGTCAGCTTCCTCCACCCACTTCTGCAGCAAGGGCCGCAGCTTACACATGTTCTTGAAGCTAAGCTGCAGAGCCTCAAAGCGGCAGATGGTCGTTTGGCTGAACACCTTCCCTGGGGGAGGCCAGTCAAAGGAGAAGCAAAGTGAGGGAGCATGCAGGGCCCTTGTGACCCTGAGATCCAAGCTTCCCACCTCTTCCCAGAGGGAGCTCAAAGCCCAAGCATCTTCTCCCTCTCCCCACTCCTCTTCACGGGTGAGGGTGGAGTCTGCCCCTGTGCCTCCCGCACTCCCTTGATGGGGAGGAAAAGGCCTAGATTCAGGAATGTTCCTTAGAAGGAAGATGTGGTCAGAACATGCTGAGGGGAACCCACCAAATAGAACCCCCAGGGTGAGCCCCACATCGGCCTGTGTATATCCCAGGGTGATCCTCTTCTGCTTCAGGAGCTTGGCAAATTGCTCGAGTTCTTTCTGCAGAGCTTTGATGTCCTGGGACTGGATTTTAAAAGGCAGAAGACTTGTAAGAACATAAACACACCAGTTATCAATCTCCCCTTTCCATTCAGGATTCAAGAACCTACGTGTGGCCCCAAGGAATAGTCTGTAGAAGTGCCTCTACCTTCCAAGCTGCCCACCTAACTTCTAGAAATAACTTTTCCACAAATGTCATTCACCCACTCCCTGTTCACTGACTCATGCATGTAACAAGGGACTGGTCTTCCCCCAGAAACTGGCACATCCAGGGGATGCAGAGCACCGTGAAAGGACAGAAAGACCCTGGACTCGAGGAGAACACCTGTCAGGTTATGAAGGTTAGAAGCTCTTTGCTGGGCGTGGTGGCTCACGCCTACAGTTCCAGCACTTTGGGAGGCTGAGGTGGGCAGACACGAGGTCAGGAGTTCAAGACCAGCATGGCCAACATGGTGAAAGCCTATCTCTACTAAAAATACAAAAATTAGCCAGGTGTGGTGGCGTACACCTGTAATCCCAGCTACTCAGGAGGCTGAGGCAGGAGAATCGCTTGAACCCGGGTGGCAGAGGTTGCAGTGAACTGAGATCGCACCACTGCACTCCAGCCTGGGTGACAGAGCAAGACTGTGTCTCAAAGAAAAACAAAAAAAAAAGAAGCTAGCTCATTTAATACTTGCAAAATTCTCTTTCACTCAAGTATCACCCCCAGTCTAAGGACGTTTTGACATTAGAGAAATAGGTAAGCTGCTAAGTTCTGGGTTAATTAAAAAGGAAGAGCATCATGTCTCAGGAGCTAAATTCGGTATACTCTCCCCAGCTTGCTTTGAGGGCCCCACAAACTATGACATGGCATGCGTATACCCAAACACAGCAAAAAAGCAACAGGTGTCATAAGAATGAATAAAATGCTTTGTGTGTACTTACTGCTCATTTTTAAAATTGATTATCCCTCATCTTTACTGTTTCTTTTTCACTACAGAGGCATCCTAATTGATTTTTGAATTCAAGAGATTTATCGAGCACCTTCTATAAGCCAGCGGCTATACAAAGTGGACAGGGCCCTGACGCCCAGAGTGACAGAAGGGCTGTGTGGCACTTGTTCTCCAAGTCACCCACTTGGATCTCTTCCAAGTGCACTTTCCTTTTTTTCCTGCTCTATCACTTTTTAATAATAAACTTCCACTCCTGCTCTGAAAAATAAAAAAGGAAATAAAATAAAAAATGGCCAGGCACAGTGGCTCATGTCTGTAATCCTAGCACTTTGGGAGGCCGAGGCGGGCAGATTGCATGAGCCCAGGAGTTGGAAAGCAGCCGGGGTAACATAGTGAGACCTGTGCCGCCCCTTTTCCTACCACCGCTGCCTCTGTTTAAAAAGAAGTTATGGAAGAAAGTAAAGCAGTCTGGGAGCGGTGGCTCAAGCCTGTAATCCCTTCACTTTGGGAGGCCAAGGTGGATAGATCACTTGAGGTCAGAAGTTCAAGACTAGCCTGGTCAACGTGGCGAAACCCCATCTCTACTAAAAATACAAAAATTAGCCAGGCATCGTGGCACTCCTCTATAATCCCAGCTACTCAGGAGGCTAAGGCAGGAGAATTGCTTGAACCCAGGAGGTGGAGGTTGCAGTGAGCCAAGATCGCAACACTGCACTGCAGCCTGAGGAACAGAGTGAGACTCCGTCTCAAAAAAAATAACAATAAATAAATAAAGCGGTCTACAGGAGTAGAGTAAAGGAAGGAAAGAGATTATGGAGGACGGTGACACTTTTAAAGACAGAGAAGGTGATTATCTGAGCAAAGGACAAGAGTGGCAAGGCCCTGAAGTGGGC